CCACCCACCTTGAACACAAGACGGAAGTCGGCTGGCAATGGACCACCAGGTTTGAACGGCGCTGACTTCAACCCATGTACTACTTTGATCCATTTGATACAATTTATAAACTGAAAACAATACACTCCTGGGTTCGCATAAGATTAGTGATCTTAGTAGAAGAATACCTCATCAAAAACTTGCGCAAAATTGAATTCGTATGGAAGGTAGAAGAGAAACGAAGCTGCGGTCCAGGTCCATACCTGTAAATACAAGAACTATCAGCGCGACTTTCGAATTACATCAGTCAGGCAGGCAGCGTTTATAGTCAGCGACACCGGCGAATCAATACCCGCTCTCGCAGTGCGGTTGTTCTGTCGCAGAGTTCAAGCAATTCTGCAATCGGCAGTGAAGCTATTACTTCTAGCGGCTACATCATTTCCATCATCTAGTTGAATTTCGGAATCGGTTTCTCTCCATTCACAGCCAATCGCCGATGCGCTTGAATCGCGCGACCTCAGCGCGCGATCGCTTGACTCCCGCGGCCGGGTGTCACAATTCATGAAAGAGGTTTTAGATGAAAACAGTACTTTGTTAGAAAGTGTTGTACAGTTGTCGAATCCCCTGCGGAAGCTATCCATTTGAGCGTCAAAGGGGCGCCGAGTAATGTAAACATCCTGAAAAAATGAATGTAAAAGAAAACTAATGACAGTAACAAATGGATAAGTAGATATTTGCAAATCCAGCCAGTCAAAACTAAGAGAAAATGAGCTTAAACAGGAAAACCAACCATGGCGGTCACAATGTCGGCTCCATCCATACTGATTGTTAATTGCGGTGATACTGCCGTAAGGCCTGCCGGCGAATAATCAAACGTCAGTGATGGGATCAGCCATACAACTCTGAATTAGGAAAGATTTTCACATTTTCACAGAATTAATAGTTCAGTGTACTGCCAGACCATTACGTATGGTCTCCCCTCTTTGGCGCGGTGCCAACCCGTTCTCCCCCAACTGCTGAAGCAGGTAAGCGACAAAAAGTAGTGACAAGAAACAAATTTGCGCCGCGCCGAACAGGCTCCCTTCCTCTGACACATCCCAGCACCTGCAGCGAACAAGACTGCGTCATGGCCACTTGCAATTAAAACGTTAGAATTAAACACCGCTTTTTCACTCACGGTTCTTGGAAGGATGTGCTTGCTCCCAGATTTCAATTCTTGATTAGCAGTTTAGAGGCACTTCGGGCAAGCACAGGTTCTTGGATCAAATTCTGCTTGGACTTTCAAACAGGATTTTGAGTACAATCATAGAGAGCAGCAAAACATAATTTCATCCATTTTTTCCCCTCTAACTCAGCACTCTTGAGATATAATTTCATCCATTATACACGACACCTGAAT